CGCCCACCCCCCCAAAATCCCCACCATAGTGGCTTGACAGACTGTACTTTTGCAAAGTTAAATTTAAAAGGTTAACTATTTTTTGTCATACTCAAGAGAATATAGATACCCTTCTTACCCAGAAAAGCATACGAGTCAGTCTATCTTGTCTTGAGAATATACCTCAACATGAACTTGCCAGATTCCTTCTCTGAGTTGCGGACATGATTACTACAAAGAAAGAAACGTTGTTTTTGTTAGTTGTTAGAATACCTTTTAATTTAGATATTTACAATAGTCACTGGTATCAAAGGAATATTTTACTAATTGTATCTTAAATGTGTGCACTGAACTGCCTGCTCATTATATATTTTAATATATATTGATATTATGCTAATATATATTACCATAAAAGCTTCACAGAACTTTCTCTTCCATCCATTAGCAATATTTGTCAAGTAGAGTCCAGGGGAGGACCCTCAAATGAAGCTTTTGAGAACCAGAAGCAAAGCCACAGCATCAGGATCATTGAAGCGCCAGCCTCAACAGGCATACTCAGGCCTGTAAAAATGGTTTCCTCACATTTTGGTCTCCGGTCCAAAGCAGTGATTCCCAAGTTGTCGTTGGCAGTGCTGTCAGATCACCTCATACTCCCTCTCCTCCTTGTTTCCAGCTGCTACATCACATCAAAAGGCAGCTAAAAATACACACTTTTCTAATATTACTTTTCCAGGTAAGCAACTGCTGTACTTGCCACAAGGATGTTACATGATTGTGAAGCAAGAGGAACATGAACCACTATTCTAAAAATGGGAAAGGGGAATACAAGACAAGTTCTTTATTAAAAGACTAGGTCAGCACTTCCCTAAAATATCATCATTGTTTTTCAGAAATCCAAGAGGAGTTGAGAGATTTACTATGCTTGCACAACTGACAAAAATCTAACAGGAACAGGACAGAGGAGAATAATTTGCTGCTTCACACTAGAACCAAACCCAGGACAGCAGTAAGAGTTAACAGAAACCTTGGGAGCTTAAAGTTTTACATACAGAACAGGAGGAAAAATATTCAAATATGATGCATATTTACTGGAATAAAAAACTACAGGGTTAAGCAATCACTAGGTGAATATTAGAAGTTACTGTTCCTAGGCAGAAACTCCAGAGTAGTATCAGAAAAGTATTAAACATTATTAGTTTCCATTCACCTCTGGAAGCACTAAAATTGCTGAAATACTTTTAAAGTTAGGCCATGCTACTACTGTTGACAGGTTCCATAAAAGTAACCTTTCCAGAGAGCAACAGAGTTACAAGTACAAAATCTCAGTACAAAATGAAGATTAAAACAAAAATAAAGTTCTTTTGCAACTTTAACATTTACACCTGTTTCTTTTTTCCCCCATTATGTTCCTAGCAAGTCTACAAAAACAAGACAAGTAGAACCTACTATAACTGTTTCAGGGTAAGGCCTTAACAGATCAAACGAAAGGTAAAGTTGCTAGAATAAGGGCTATACAATTTTCAATAAAGCCTTACTTAAAACATTAGGTCACTGAGGCCCCTGAATACATACCTGCATTCCAAATAAAACCACTAATGCTGTTTTACTGGGCACAGGTGGCAAAGGGGCTGCACGCTAACCATTTTAACTCATTAAAAATACAAAAAGGACACAGAAGCTTATTTTGACATTTCATGCTTAATGGTACTTAACTTTATACATCGCTGTTATTCCTCAGTTCTGCTGAGAAACATGAACAGTCAATGTACCACCTATCACATCATCCCTGCTAGCCAGCTGACACAGCCTGTTGGAGAAGCTGTCCAGTGGCTCCAGGAAGGAGTGGTGGCTTTGGGAACCATCCTTCGCTAATGGAGAACAGCTTCTTGTATTTGGGTGGCTGTCTCAGTTGAACCTCTCAATCTTGTGTTAGAATAAAACTTGAGTCATTGGTAAAGTATTTAATGTTCAATCTAGTAATTTTAAATTAGTTTAAATCAATGTGCAGCAGATGTGTGGTTTCACAGATTTCTTGTGGCAGCGCTAAGGTTTACAAATTACTTCTGAGCTGGCCCTCAGGCCATCCTGGTTTTACAAAGGAGCATTGCCAGTGGTTATTTTAGCCTAAACCAAAAATAAATTTAATTCCACCGAAATCCACAAAGTGAATTCACCAATTTGTAGATTTTTCTAAGGAAAAGTTATACTAATGATCCTAAAACAATCTCTTTTCAACTAAAAATGATTTCTATCTACTTTAAACCAGCATAAGTTATCTTAAAAAATATCGGGTAGTAAGCACTCTACAGGGATTATAGAAGCAATAAGCGGTACTATCTTAACACCATATTCCCATTTGCAGTAAATTTAGAGACATTTTAAAGCCATGAAGTTTGCATGAATGTAGTCTTCAAGTGTTCTGAGTGTACAAATAATGAAAGGACAGAGAGAGCTAGGAAAGCCATTTGTGTAACATGATTTAAATAAAGACAACAGCTACAACCTGTTTGTAATCCTGAAATACCACATATTAATAGATTACTGGGAAAACTCAGACCACTCTCTCCAAAAGTGCCACAAGATCTAGCCGGAGCTTTCCACCTGTAACTTCCTACAAGGAACGTTCAAAGCCAAGGTTGTACTCTGTCCTAAAGATAACACATTTGTTTCACAGTGTTACCCAATTTAAAATTAGTTGGTAAATTACATTCAAAATACTAAATCCTAAAAATGTAGCATCTTCACAAAAGCTGATACACTGTATGACACCTTACAAAACAGGTACAGTATGCTTATTTCAAAAACAAGAATGTATGAGATTCTTTGTTTTGGTATTTTCATATAATGATAGCTTCAAAGCATTGAAAGATAACAATGACAAAACACTGAGGGAAAACAAAACCAGAAACCAATCATCTGAAAGGGGAGGGAAAAAGAGGAAAGGGAAAGAAATCACAAGTCTCTCTGCTCCTTGCACACTGTTTAGTTCAACACTAGCACAAGCCTACACGGGCAAGCAGGCTAACACATTCAGCGACACTGGTGCACATCACCTTGGACCATGGAGGCTGAAGTAGAAGGAATGGAGGAAGACTACACTTCTATTTGGACTGCTCCTTACTGTAAAAGGATCCACTTAGCAGTGACAAGAGACTGCATTATTAAAGACATTTGCTTCCATTAAGGCATGCTTGCTGAAGAGGTTAATGTCCTATTTGCACATTGCCAAATGCCTGCTGTAGGCTACTGCTCCTAGGGATGCACTAACAAAGCTGCTCACATAAGCACTCCTCAACCTTATTCAGTCAAAATGAATAAGGCTGGCAAACACCTACCGTTTAAAGTAACCCACTTGAGAAAGGAAGAAAGGGCAATATTAAGGATTACAAAGCAATTTCTTACCTTCCAATACATCTTCCAGAAATAATGAATTACTACTGTAATACTAGAGACAACATTTCTTAAAAAAAAAAAAAAAGGAATATGTTTGCTTAAGCGAAACCATGCATTTTTCTACACACACACACAGACACACACACGAATGTGCTCACTGCAAACAGCTTGAAGAACTGATTCGGAAGGCTGGAAGAAAGAGGTAGCCATTATTTTTTGTAACTAGGCAAGGTAAAGGGGCCAAGTGTCTCAAATGTTCATGAAAGCCTTATTAGGGCAAAGTACTACTGTTTTTGTCCTAGCAGGCTCTGCTAGTTTGGAAGTACAGTTGTGTAGGGAGAAGAATCTGAAGGTCTGAACCCCCAAATAAAAACTCAAACCTGCCAAGAAGAGGTAAAGGATACCGAGCTGTAATTCCAACAACACACAAAATTGCTGTTAAGTCAAAGGAAGTGGTGTCAGCCTCTTCCTGGCCACCTGTGCTGGTGCAGGAGGTGGTCTGTACATATATGGCTGCTCAGTCAACCAGCTCATGGAACTGATCCAGACTAAAATAAATTCTCAGAAAAAGTCTCAATCATTTACTCTATCTGGTTTATTAGTTCTGTATAAACACTCATGTTCACACAAGGGAGGAGCAGATGAGGAGGGAGGAATGAGCTTCCTTCCACAGCAGTACTGATTTGTTCTGCTCATGGTATTAAGACCTTAGACAGCTACTTGGAAGAGAAATACCAGTTTGAAGCCTATATATTAATCAACTGTGGGGCTCTGGCTGCAAAGAGAGAGAGATTAGGACTCTATATAAAACTGCTGCTTTGAACATTCATGTTGAAAGTTCAGTCACTGAAAACATTTACTTCAAAAATAAAATGCTGAGTTGGCTTGAGGTGTCCTGCTAAAAACACAGGGAAAGCTACAAGTTTCAAGAACTTAAGCTGGCAGACTGTCAAGTCAAAGAAAAATAATGATATTTTGCCATTGTTCCAACCTGAAGAAGTAATCTCCTCCCCCTCCTTAGTGCAGATTCACGATGAGCAAAAAACAGTCTTAGCTTAGATAGCTGATGTTCTGCCAGTTTCTTTCCAAGCAGCTACACATTGGTAACTTCAGTTCAAAAACATTGTTCCAAGATACTCTGAACAGCAGGATACATCCTTCTAGCCCCTTGCTAGGCTTTTGGGTTCAAAAAGGACACATGTTAGATTAGAATATACGGATTAGAATATACCGTACAGTTGCCTTCCATTTCTTTTCTGTTCAGAGAATCTAAAATCGCTGAAACAGAAAAACCATCAATGGAAGAACAGAATGTGAAAAATAGTGAACCAGAAATAAAGAGACAATTGTTTCCGATATACTCTTTTCCCTATACTTACACAAGTCTAGTGGATAATAGTACAACCATCATGAACAAAGCTAGTACTTCTAATTATTTAAGGATCACAGAACTACACATAGCAAGCATAAATTTCAGGTATTAATACAGAAATAACACTATACAGATCTACTGAGAACTCCATATACTGGTGGATATCTATGGTAGAAGCTCTGTAAATTCAAGACAACAATGCATATTAATTCCAAGTAAAGACACCCTCAAATCATTTAGGGAGTATCCTGGTGGCCAACCATTGTAACATGCAAATCCACACAAGCACCATTAAATGGAAGCCAATTCCTTCAAACTACCTCCACACACCCTAAGTAGGCAACTGGTAACTTCACCTTATAATTTGAAGTAGAAAAAAAAGCATTGTTAACAAAGGAACCCACTATGGACGAGAACTCTAGGTGACTTGCTG